TGATGAGGTGTAGGTTTAGATTTTTTTGTTGCGATCCTTCTTTTTTAATGTGTTTATCGCTACAAACTTCTTTTTTTTTTTTTTTTTTGGGGGGGGGGCTTTTTTTAATTTTTTTAAATTTTTAAAATTTTATTTTAAAATAATAAATTAAAACAGATATATTTTATGTTAGAATGAGATATAATAGCAAGTTCAATGAAATCAGATTTGTATGAAATCAAAATGTTCTTCTTGACTCCTGGCTCTCTGCCTCCCTGGCCAGCCTGTCTTCCCTCAAAGCCGCAGCCAGTCTCTCTCTTGCTTTCCTCACTCTGAGATTCTGTCTCTGGATGTCTCCACGGGTGACCAGTTGCCTGCACAGAAGCTGTGGGCCATAGAGACCTGCTCCTGGGATCATCTCTACCCCATGTAACAGTTGTGCTGGGCTGGGCTGGGGGCTGGTGTGTAAAGACCCAGGACAAGCACAGCCCAGAGTTTCACGCCCCCTTCCTGGTGCAGTTGTTCTCATCACATTTGTCACCTCCAAAGTGTTTACAAGTTCCCCTTCACTGCTGCAGGCCTGGAGCCCCTGCAGTCTCCTGTAGGCACTCATCTGCTGGGGCTTCTCCAAGGTCTCCTCCTGTTGCCTGCGCCTGACCACATTGTCAGGATGGCAGTAACCTTTGGTGACTGCACTTTTAAAAATGCAGCTGGTCAGCCTCATAGGAAGTTCAGACCTTTCCCGACGTCTCCGCTTGCTCATGGTTAAAACCAGTTGTCTCTTCTTCGCTAAAGTCTGGGGCATCATGTTTCTCTGGAGCTTTCCCAGAGAAGGCTGGTTTGTCTTCATGATTGATCCAGGCTCCCCCATGGCTGCTGAGCTGTGTTGCTGGTTCACTCCTGACAGGCACACAGCTTGCTGAAAACTGCAGTGGCTTTCTCCTCTGCTCCCCCTTTTATGGAGGAAGGGAGTGGGTAATCCCATCAGTAGATAATCCTGTCTCATATCCACCTTGTTCCTAATCAGTTTATTCAAACAAAAAGATGGGATTATTGACACAGTTCAATACTGTTACTGTTTTCAAAAAGTAATGCACTTGTGGATGGGGTGGTATTTGCAGTTTCTATCAACATTTGAATGATCAATGATTCTCATCACTCATGTTTCTATCTCTCACTCCCTCTCCTTTCTTCTCTGAAATCAATAAAAATACATAAAAAAACACTAATAAAATAATTCTTATGTGTTTCAAAAGAAAAAGAGCAGGAATGGAAGTTTCTATGCACAAAAATTTCCATGCAGTTTATCTCAATAGAAAACCATAGAGACTGTTTAAATGTTTATTAAGAGAATATCCAAAATACTTACTTATAATTCTATATAATACATAATACAGCCAATAGCTCTAATCCAGTTTTACTCAAGGGTTTGAGCATCAGCCTTGGGCTGAAGGGTGGAGCGTTCTAATCCACTTAAGGGCACATACCTGGATAGCCTCGTTGATCCCTTGCCACTGTTGGTGTTGTGCTGGAGGCAACCAATCAACGTGTCTTTCTTATTTGCTGTTTCTCTCTCTCTCTCCCTCCCTTCTACTCTCTCTGAACAAAAAATAAATGGAAAAATTATAGCCTCGGGTGAGGATTAACAACAGCAATAAAAAAGCAAACTACACTTCCGCCTTCCGCCTCACGCAGAGACCTAGGGTCGGCCGCGGGCCGCCCAGGAGCTGAAGTCGAGACATGTCGGGAGGAAAGGCCGCGGGTGAGCCCAGGGCTCCGGGAGTGCCCCGCGCCCTCCTCTCTGGCGCCCGGGGGCTTATTGGACAGCGGCTGGCGCCACACCTCATCCTGGGCCGCCTTCCCTCCATCCGCTCCAGGGATCTCACCCTCGGGGGAGTCAAGAAGAAAACCTTCACTCCAAATATCAGTCGGAAGATCAAGGAAGAACCCAAGGAAGAAGTGACCATTAAGAAGGAGAAGCGTGGAAGGGATAGAGACCGACAACGAGAGGGTCATGGACGGGGCCGGGGTCGACCAGAAGTGATCCAGTCCCATTCCATCTTCGAGCAGGGCCCAGCTGAAATGATGAAGAAAAAGGGGAACTGGGATAAGACAGTGGATGTGTCGGACATGGGGCCCTCTCATATCATCAACATCAAAAAAGAGAAGAGAGAGACAGACGAAGAAACAAAACAGATCCTGCGCATGCTGGAGAAGGATGATGTAGGTACCAGCAGCCTTGGCGGGGGGTGGGGGTGGGGGT